CAAGTAATCACCCATTGCACATTTGCCTGCACTACCACAATATGCCAGAACAAGTTGTGGAAGGACCCTGGGATGGTGAATTAGGTAAGTGGGAGCATTTCTTCAAACATGTCGAATTTCAAAACCCACATGCATGGCTTTACATACAGGCATTCCTGACCCCATCATGGAAAAAATGTTGCATGATTTGGTCATGTTGTAAAGGGTTCCCTCAGCTACAATCAGATCCAAAACCCCAGGTCTGAAATTGAAAATTATTCAACACCACCAAAGATAAAAAAGGTAAGGTGATTGTCCAGTGAATGCCACCCATTCTTTATGTTTTGCTAGATACATATTGAGCCCTTTTTCTTTCAACACCTTGTGATAAAGGTTGCAGCAAAATCAGAGCAAGACTTGCTAGGATATTTTACCACATATTGAGAAAGATTCCCCTAAGATACAGCAAAGCAATAAATTCACTTAAAAATAGCTACTTAAAAAAAAAACACCATTTCAGAAGCATGTGCAACAATCTTAAGGTTGCTTTTACCTGAGCTTGAGAATCAAGATCTATGTTTCATCAGCTGACATCATTGAAAATCATCCTTTTCTTTTAGGTATTGGTATGTTGACATTAATGTGGTTCACATAAACCAATCCTTTCTTTTTTAGAATTTGCTTTCAATAACAGAATCACTAACTATGTTAAAAAAAATATATATTTAGAATAATTTATAAGAATCTAATTTTATTTCTATTAAATAATTTTTACCATTATTTTCTGAATCATTATTAAAGCATCATTGTTTTTCTCAAGTTGTATATATTTCTCCTGGCTTTTTGTGATTGAATGTGAAAAAATCTATTTCCTTGTTCAATTTTTTGTTATATTAACAAAAATAATTGGTAATGATCAGTGGGGTGCATATCTCACAATAAAATAAAATTCAAAGTTCACCCTCATTTCTGCTAGAGTTTCTATTCATAAATTCATAATGCAAATTCTTATTCAAATTATTTCAAACCATTTGTTTTATTTCAAATAAGGATACCGACTGCAACTTTTGATGATGGTTGCTACCATCTTTGTGTCATATAAAAATGATTGGAAACACTGGTTGCAACCACCTTTACAACCATTTTGTTTCCTTTTGTTGTAAAGGGTTCACTCAGCTACAATCAGATCCAAAACCCAGGTCTGAAATTGGAAATTATTCAACACCACCAAAGATAAAAAAAGGTAGGGTGTTTGTCCAGTGAATACCACTCATTCTTTATGTTCTGCTAGATACATATTGGGCCCTTTTTCTTTCAACACCTTGTGATAGAGGTTGCAGCAAAATCAGACAAGACTTGCTAGGATATTTTACCACATATTGAGAAAGAATCCCATAAGATACAACAAAGCAATAAATTCACTTAAAAATAGCTACTTAAAAAAAAGAACACCATTTCAGAAGCATGTGCAACAATCTTAAGGTTGCTTTTACCTGAGCTTGAGAATCAAGATCTATGTTTCATCAGCTGACATCATTGAAAATCATCCTTTTCTTTTAGGTATTGGTATGTTGACATTAATGTGGTTCACATAAACCAATCCTTTCTTTTTTAGAATTTGCTTTCAATAACAGAATCACTAACTATGTTAAAAAAATATATATATTTAGAATAATTTATAAGAATCTAATTTTATTTCTATTAAATAATTTTTACCATTATTTTCTGAATCATTATTAAAGATCATTGTTTTCTCAAGTTGTATTTATCCTAGACTTATTGTGATTGAATGTGGAAAATCTATTTCCTTATTTCAATTTTTTGTTATATTAACAAAAATAATTGGTAATGGTGCATATCTCACAATAAAATAAAATTCAAAGTTCACCGTCATTTCTGCTAGAGTTTCTATTCATAAATTCATAATGCAAATTCTTATTCAAATTATTTCAAACCATTTGTTTTATTTTGAATAAGGATACCAGCTGCAACTTTTGATGATGGTTGCTACCATCTTTGTGTCATATAAAAATGATTGGAACTGCTGGTTGCAACCACCTTTACAACATTTTGTTTCCTTTTTTGGATTGCAACATGGAACACTGATTTTGAATCATTCATTTTGAACCATTTGTTTTATTTCAAATCATTCATTTTCATTTATTTTGAATTATTTGTTTATTTTGAATTATTTTATTCAAATCATTTCAAAATAATTTTTATTTTATTCGAATAGAAACCTAGTTCTGGTCAAGGGCAAGGTTTTCCTTCCAGCACTATTATTGCAGTGAGAGCTAGTGTGGTTGATTCATAATTCTTTCTGGTGATTAATGGTTTGGCCAACCCTTTTGATTTTACTATATTGCTTGTAGTGATGCTCAAGTAGTATATTTCTATTTTTTTTTT